GGCACTGCCGCCATCTTGCGCCGCCCGCCATCGGCCGCCAAGCGCCGGCGCCTTCGCGACAGTCCGGGCACACGTCAGCGCCGCCTTTTGCGACACGGCGGGCGCGCCTTTACGGCACAGGCAGGGCAGCGCGGCCGGGGCTGGAGCGTGGGGAGTGCTTTAGGGCAATAGGGTTGTTCATTAGGAAAGACAGAAAACCAGCGCGCTCGGTTCCAAAATGACACTTTTTATTAGGACAACTGGGAGATCGCAAGAAAAATGTCCTTTTCTGCGAGCTTTCGGGATCAATATTTTCTGCGAGCTTTCAATGTTTTCTGCGAGCTTTTGGGATCAATGTTTTCTGGAGACTTTCGGGATCAATGTTTTCTGCGAGCTTTCGGGATGAATTAGGAAATAAAATATGCTCTGTGTTTTATAACAGTGATTCCCCGCCCCCAACATGACGTAAGGTTAGCTACATCGCTAATGACATGTAAATCTCCCAGATTGCTTTCAACAGTCACTGGGAGATCGATGCCGATTTCAGTAGCCTCCTGGCCGATCTGGGAGGGCTGGCAACCCTAAATACTGGTAAACAGAAGGGGAAAAAAATACCACACTTCTCATTGCATTACCACTGCACTCTTCCTTTTCACTGTCAAGCCATATGTGCAGTTGCATTAACTGAGACGACTCCATCTATGTTTGACTCCCAAGAAACTATCATTGTCCTCTGTCTCAAATCTTCATCCTTAAAACTGATCTCTACTAACAGATGTGGGGGCATCTCCGGGACTGAACTAAAGGAGAAACTTCTTGAACTGAAAGGCAGCTAAAGGTTCTCTGGAAAGGAAGGTTTTGTGGCTCCGTCGGTTTTTACCGGACTTGAAACACTTTTCCTGCTTTTAATTTGACTTCATGCTTAACCAGGAGGAAAACTACACCTCCCAAGAGCCCTTCAGCAGGCTCGTGCATGCGCACAGGAGGCTGCTTTTAAAAAAAAAACAAAAAACCGGCCGTTCCCATCATGCTGAGGGCTCGGTGCGCAGGCGCAGTGTTGAGCGCTCGGACTACACTTCCCGCCGTGCCTCGCGCCGCGCCGGGCGACGGGTCCCGCGTGCGGCCTATCTTCCTCCGCCCCCGCCATGGAGATGGAGACGGACGCGGGCTCCGTGGTGTCGGGGCTGTCCGGGGGGGGCGGCAGCGCTACCGCGCCCGGGGACGAGGACGTGGAGGTGGAGGGCGCCCCGGGCTGCTCCGGAGCCCGCGCCCTGCCCTTCGCCTTCGAGCGGAGCCGCTCCGAGTCCAGCGCGGACGGGGACGAGGAGGACGAGGACGAGGTGGAGCTGGAGGACGAGGAGCTGCCGGCCGGGCCCGGCGCCCGCTTCAGGGCCTGCGGCGACGGCGACGAGTTCGACTCCGACGAGGAGCGCGAGGTGACGGGCCCCACAATGCCTTGCGACACCACCGGGGGCGGGGGGGCGGCACGCGGCCCCTCATTCCCACAATGCAATACCACACTGGGGGCACGTGACCCCTCACTCCCACAATGCCTTGAAACATCATATTGAGGGGGTGACAGGTGGCACCTCTACTCCCAGAATCCCTTGCAACATGTGGGGGGGTGACAGGTTCTGCCTCCACTCCCAGGATGCCTTGCAATATATGGTGGGGGTGACAGGTGCTGCCTCCACTCCCAGAATGCCTTGCACCATATGGTGGGGGTGACAGATGGTGCCTCCACTCCCAGAATGCCTTGCAGCGCCACGTGCTGAGCGGGGCAGGTCCCTGCTCCCATGATGCCCTGCGGGGTCAAGTAGAGCTGGCATGCGGTGGGGAGCAGGCATCTGTCAGGACACTTGAGGCAGGTGAGGCTGCGGAGACGCCGTGGCAGGAGGTCACTAACGCGGGAGGGGAGGAAAGGGCACGGCTTGTTTCGGAGTAAGGAGAGGAAACCTTGAAGTCAAAGATGACGCCCCAGTTTTTGGAGCAATCGGGGACAGCGATATGTCACCGGTGATTGAGGTTGGACCTGGCATTGGGGTTGGTGGGAGCGAACAGCGAGTGCTGTTTGATTGAGAAAACGGTCCAAGCAAAGGGGAAGAAGATGACTGCGTGATGAGTGAAGCAAGGGATGTTGAGGTTGGATATTGGGAGGAATTTTCTCACGAGGAGGGTGGTGAAGCACTGGAACAGGTTACCCAGAGAGGTGGTGGACTCTATATCCTTGGAGGTGTTTAAGACCCGGGTCAACAAAGCGTTGGCTGGGATGATGCAGTTGGGGCTGGTCCTGCTTGGAGCAGGGGTTGGACTAGATGTGACCCCTGAGCTCCCTTCAACCCAAATTATCTGTGATTCTGTGCATTGTGAAAGGAGTCCCAGCGCTCGTGTGAGTTTTCACAGAAATGCTGAGAGCACCAGAGTAGGCTCCGAGAGAACAGATACTGGTGGTAAGCCAGGGTCGGTGAGGTGGAAAGACCTGGAATAGATGAGAACGGAGAAAAATGGTGACCAACTTCATAGAAGAGAGGTTAGAAAAAGCTGGAGACTGACTGCAGAGTCCTAGATTGCAACGAGCTAGAGATAACAAGGACTAGATGTGGGCAAAGGGACAAGAGACCAAACCTGCTGGACACTTGACCTATGTCAAAGGACTTGGCTTTTTATAAACCGCCACACCATAAAATGAGAAATAGGCTTTTGTAAAATCAGCATTTCAGGACGGACACTATCCTGAACCAGCTGATCTCGAAGGTGCTGCCCTGTCCTACCTCCTGTTCTAATCCTGTAAGACATACTTATCTGTGCTAACAAACTACTGCAAAAAATGGCTGGTTGATAAACACACTTTATAATCAAAATCCAGAGCAGTGTAATTTCAGCTCTTCCTTTAATATGACACACAGTTAAGTGCATCTAGAAACTAGCACTAGTTTAATGTGACACATTTAAGCGCATCTTGAAACCAGTGCATCTAGGAGACGAGCACTGTTTCAGTTTCTGGACCAAGGGATGACTGTCCGGTTTGTTGAGCGCTCCTGAAGTAATGATTTCTGTTGCTGCCAACCTCTACTTCATTGCAACCAGTGAAGTACTCCCTATAGTATTACTATCCAGTACCCTGCAGGATTTGCTTATACTGTACTTGTTTTTCAGAAATTATTCTGAAATTAATTCAATTGCCGTGTTTGCAGAGAAACAAATGGAGATATATTGGGAAGATCTTATTTGAAAAACTATTGTCACTTGGGCAAACTTAGTATAAGTAGTAAGTGTTGTTTGTGGGCACAAAACTTTCCGTCCATAACGTAAATCAAGGGTATTAGACTTCAGAAATGAGAGTGAGTAAATTGTTTGGCTTAACCTGTATTCTGAAACTGTTTCAATTGTATTTTCTAGCGTATGATAAACCTTTCTGAGTTGAATCCGTACATCTTGTGTTCCATCTGCAAAGGTTACTTTATAGATGCTACAACCATTACAGAGTGCCTTCATACGTGTAAGTACTGCTGATTTCACAAATTTAGTTCCAAGGCGAGAGAGATCAGCTATCAGAATGGGGTAGTATTTCCATGCCTCACAAATGAAATTGCCTGTTTAAAGTTAGCTTGTTTGCTGCGTGCTTTTCCCTGTGGCAGGACATGAAAGTATTTCCGAGCGCATGGAAAAATCCCTGGCGTGCATCCTATGTTCTGCCTGGTTTTCACTCTCTCATTCTCTTTTTAAATTTTTTCACATCCTTTTGTTATAACAACCTCTCCTCCAGCAGATGAACAGGGAATTCAGTTCTCTCTGAAAGCTAGTAACCCTAACCCTAACCCTAACCCTAACCCTAACCTGGACTCCCTGCGCATGGGTCCAGGTCACTGCCGTTACACAGATAACGCAGCACTCTTGTTGAAAATCGCTGCCTTAAACAAAGCGCTGGTAGAGCAAGTGGAAATATCTTATGTGATAATAGAAAACTCCTGTCACTGGTTACAGACTCCTGGCAGCAGGAGAAGACCGATCCATTTGTAACATAAGAGACCAAAATAGTAGCCCATCACTAGTGTGTACCAGCCAGCGAGGACATTTGCTATTTGGAAACACAAGGACCAGTTGCCCAATACCTTGAGAAGGGGAGAAAGAGTTAGGGTTAAAAACCCTCACCAAATTGACTTATGAGTTTAAATTCACTTTAACGTTAATGTGAAATTATACATTAAAATTAAGTTGACTTAATTCATTTTGCTTAATTTGTTTCCAGACAGTTGCCGTTGTCTGTAGCTAATCGTCCTCCTGCATTATCTTCAGTAAACCTGTTGCGGAGTGTAACAAAACACTTACGACTTCTGAATCTTTTTCTTTACAGTCTGTAAAAGCTGCATAGTAAGACATTTTTACTACAGTAACCGATGTCCAAAATGTAACATTGTTGTCCATCAGACACAGCCTCTTTATAATATCAGGTAACATAGTCATCTCATTTCGTGGGTTTTCCTTTATTTTAATGCGTCTGCTGTTATAGGGATGGGATGTTAGATTTTTTTAAAATATTCAATAATAATTTTTTTTAGACTTCTGTTTGAGACGCATAATCCTTGACCGCTGCAGTTGAAAAAATAGTTTAACAATCCATATGTTGTATATGCTTTACCTGTATTGTAATTAACGTTCAACAATGACAATTAGACTGAGTTTCGCTATAGAATCATTTTCTGCTTCTTACGCAGAAGCATGCTGTTGCAGGTGATATATCCAAATGAGCTATATTGATCAACAGGTTAAGGGGAAAAACCCATAAATATGTCAAAGGTTCTGCTTTGAGCTAAGATATTTGACATGAGCTTTTGAAGTATACTTCATGCTTTCCTGAAGGTGCTTTTTCAGCTCGTGTGGTTTGTTTTCCTCAGGTGCTATCAGTAAGAGCTACGTGCAGAGGTGGAGTTGAGCCCTCTGTCTTGTTGGTAGGCACCAAGTTTAGCAATCTGTTTGGCAGCCCTGCAAAAAATGTCATGATTAATGTAAGGAGCTTTGTGCTTAACATAAGGCAGTTCGTGTTCATTACAATAGGCTTTGCAATTTATTAAATACTCAGTTATGCAGGGGACATTCATACAAAAAGTTACTAAGGATCGTTCTTTTCCTTTCTTTCGTTAGGCTGGACCGACAGTTACAAGACATAGTATATAAACTTGTTGTCAATCTGGAGGAAAGTAAGTCTCCTGTTTTCAATTCATTTTTATCCTGGTGTTCTGATTACATCATTATGTTGAAAGCACTGGAATAAAAAAGCTGATAGCTGCTTAATCCAGAGCACTATATTTCTACACTTGGCTACTACAGACTGTCAACATAATTTATTTTTTTTAGCGAATGCTGGAGTTGGTTTGGCCATATCTCTTACTGAACTAGCCGTGCAAATTGGTGTCCTTTAGCATGCTAAAATGCTCTTACAAACAGTCTGCAGCAGGAGTTTTGTCTCTGAAATGACATAGATGACCCTCTTTCTGTAATTGTTATGGTTGAGTCGATACTGGTTCTGTAGGTACGCTTGCATGGAGATTTGTAAACCTATATTCCAGATTTAAGTAATTGCATTCAGTTTTCAGATTCTTCTCTTGTAGTATTTTGTATAATGATTCAGGGCAGGGGTCTGAATTTCATGTAGGAATTTTTTATTCATGGGCTTACTAATACTGCTAGAAGAATTTTTTTTTTTTTTTAATTCTTCCACTTGAAATTTGAACCTGACAGTCACTTGTGTAGGCATGGGTTTGTTTGGTTTTGGGGGTTTTTGTGTTGTCTGCATCGTTATTATGCTGATAGGGAATATAGTTGAGCAACCTTAGCAATAAGTTAAATGTTTAAAGTGCAATAGAAAACCATTTTCAGCTGCTGCCTACACTATTCCCAACCTCAAAAGATGAAAAATCATGGACCAGACCTCAACTGTTGTGATATTGGCCTAAAGATAATATGAATAGTAGAATGATTTAATTTGTGCGCTTTGGTCCATCACCTGGAATGTTCCTTCTTGTTTCAATTCCCCATGCCCATCCCTAGCACATGTATTAGATAATTTAATATTATCTTCCCCAAATCTTTTGAAAGGTGATTTTTAGCTCATCCTGTGGGGGCCCTCCCCCCTGCTTGTATTTGGAAGGAGACATCCTTCCAACCCATCCATTCCAGCCTTCAAACTGCAAATCAGTCATAATCCTGAGAGCGTGCATGTGACACATCCCAACCCCTTAGTTCTTCCTCTCCTCCAGCTCTTACATCTGTCAAGCGCCGCTCTCCCTGTCAGGTCTTCCTTTCCTGGAATTGTTCACCTTCGTGTCATGGACTAGGGCTCAGCTGCAGCAGAGTCCCCTTTCAGATTTGGGGATGCAAGGACAAGAAGCTGCAACAGGGTCCTTCGTCTTCTACCTCTCCTTCCCAGGTTGGGTATTGCAAAGGGAGGGGAAGATAGGTCCCCATTCATCTGGGGAGCAGAAAAGGCAGCCAAATATCCTGACCGTAGGGGCTCCTTCTGCTATGAAAATAGTGTTGGATTTCCGAGGAGAGAGGTGGCAAAGCTGAGCCAGTCAGATCTGCTGGTAGCTCCAGGAATGGGTAGTGGGGACAGGCACCAATCAATGGAGGTTTCTACAAGGAAGAACTAAAACTTGCCAGAAGGCTGGAACATCTAACAGTACTGTGAGACTGACTCTTACTCCAACCAAAATCCTGTTGTGTTTGAAAAAATCATAAGTTGGCAGTGTTGCATTTGGGATCTCTCTCTCGAATTAGATGGGACACTAGAGCATGTCCTGGATAACCGTATATATCAGGCTGATATTCCGGTAACATGCTAGCTTCTTTTGCATATGTATATTAACTAAATATAGAAACTTCAAAACCACCGAGGCCATATTAACTTCCCCAGGTATGATTAAGCTAATGAGTAGTATGCAGCACTGCTTAAGAAGACAAAATATTTTGTGACAAGTCTCCAAATCCTAATTGGCTTCACTAGCATACAGTCTGATGCTAAATTGTTGTATGTTGTTGAATATTGTTTCTCTCATATGAAATGCTAATGAAAGGTGCTGTCCTAGAAACACATAATAAGCTTCTGTTCATGCAATGTAATTCTTCCATCTGTTGGAAATTAGTTGTCAGAAACAGCCACATATTATATTAGCTGTATGTGATAAAGTCCAACCTGTCTTACATTATTTTCAGGAGAGAAAAAGCAAATGCATGACTTTTACAAAGAAAGAGGTCTAGAAGTACCTAAACCAGGTGAGTTCATAATCACTTTAGAGAAGCAAATACAGCGTTCAAGCTGAAATGTAATTAAATCCTAACACTAGTCTGAGTGATGGCTTGCTGTTACAAGGCATGAACCAGTGATGTGTAGTTCCACTTTCATTTAATCAGTTTGCTGCGAGCCGTGTCTTGTTTGTTGTCATGCCTGTAAGCGTAGTGTGTGCATCTCTCTGAAGTAAGGGATAATCTGGCAGGGTCTTACAGCACAAAAATTCAACACATATCTTTCTGCCTTGCTTAATTCAGGAGTGTGCAGCATTGTTTATACCAGTAGCGATAATATGTCACTGTGGTGAAAGTGCCATCTCTGTATGGCACGGCACTGCAAGAGGTCTGCTTCAATTTTCTCCAGTGGGATGTTCAGCCCAATGGGTTCTGGCTTAGCTTCTGGCCAGATCACAGGGAGAGTTCAACCCTTTTTGGAGCAGCAGAATTCCTAAGTCAAAATCCAGGGTAATCGCAGACCGCACGAACTCTCAGCTGCACCAGGGTTAGCTTTTAGCCCCCTTCCTTTCAGACTGACCCTCTAATACATCTAGGAAATATCCACTTGTTAGGATACTTCTGCAAGGGAAAAATCTTGTCTCACTAATCTTGCATGTTGACTGGTCATGGAAAGAGTTCAATCCTTTCTGGATCCAATTACAATCCAAACTGTTGTTGTTGTTTTCTCCTCGTGTCCAATCACAAAATACATGCTTTGTTTATAACCAGGAAATAAATATGTGTACTATGCATAATTTTTGTTTTATTAAATTAATTGGGATAAAAAGTAATTCCAGATCTGTAAGATGCAAATGTTTGCTGTTATCTGTACCTTTTAAGAGCTTAAAAATCGTTAGAGGCCCCCTTTAGAAGGTAAAGGATTGGTGTAAATTGCCTTCCAGTCCCACTGTTGTCTCTAAACAGTTATTCAGAGAGACGGCTTGTTGACTCCGAGCAAATAATAATTGCTTGAGATACGGAGGCTATGGGACAGAAATAATGACATAATTATAGGTGAGCTGTGTGATCATTTATGCCTGACTGACACTGATATGGACTTTTTACTTTTTAATTCAAGTTGTTTGTATTTTTGGTGCTTTGCTACCTTTAGCTATCCCACAGCCAGTCCCTGTGAGCAGAGGAAGGCCACGAAAAGTCCTGGGATCAGTTTTCCGAATCCCACCAGAACTTGATGTCTCATTACTTTTAGAGTTCATCGGGTAAGTGAAAGATGTGAAAAGTATTCTGCATAAATGTAAGAAACATGAGTATGCATTTCAAAAATAACTATACTATCCCTTTATAGTTATGGCAGAGCACAGCGTAACTGTAATATCCCATTATAGTTATTCTGAAATGCTTGCTTGTGTTTCAGACACTATTTTTAAATCTAAGATGGGTTCTCCTGCCCTTTGTTTCAAAGAATGTACACTTCCATCCTGAATGGCCAAGTCTACCGTAAATTTGTTTCATGCCCCTTGAGTGCTGATTCACAGCGAGGATAATAACCTCCTGTTGCTGGCAAGTACCCCTTTACTGCAAGTAGCAGAGATCTGTGTAGTTGGTGTGAAGGTCCCAACCTTGCTGAGGAGATGTGGGTGTCAATATGGTGCCATATAAAATGTCTGCTTCTTTCAGATTTATTTTGTTTTTAAACCTAGGAAAATCTCCATGCATTAAATGAAAAGAATATTGTTCGTATGGCAAGCTGAACCATTAAAAATTAAGAGTTGCCAGATTAAGGCTACGTATGCAACCTTAAATTGTCCCCATTGTGCGTGTGCATAATGATATCTTTAATTACGTGATTGCACAATATTTTTTCTGCAAGACCTCTCCCTTATTAACTGCACTGTTCAAACTTGCTCCAACGGGGAATTGTGGTTATGTAGCAAAAACAGCTGTTGTCTGTAAGATGGCTTAATAAACAAGGCAGAGGATTGCAGAAAGGTGCAGGGAAGGACTCTCGAGTCAGACAGCTGAATGCTGCCCTGGGGATTGGGATGCTATCCCTGCCTCTGCCTCCGAGTTCCTGTATGAGGCTGGGCAGATCATTTAAACCAAACTCTTCATATGCAGTCATTGTGTATCCCTCCTTGCTGGGCAACTAACTTGAGAAGTATTGGGCACTCAGAAATGCAGCTGCAGGCAGTGGGAGCTGTTCTTGAATCAGTAACAGCAAGTATTCTGAAAAATCAGATTCTGGTTGTCTCAGATAAGGCACTCAAAATTAGTAGATACTTCAGACATTAATTTCTCTCTCTGCCTCAAATTCCTATCTGCAATCCCAATATAATGGTGTCCCCCTCACTTCACAGGAGTGTGTGAAAATAAATCAGTTGTGAAAAAGCCCTTGAGAAAACTAACAACTCTGTGTTTAGAGCAGAATAAGTTAGACTAGGGACCACACGTTGAACATTGGGAGGAAAAACAAATGATGTATTCTTATCTACTCAGTGATAGTTCTCCCTTCTGTGCAACAAATAAACTAGCGGTCCTGGGGTAGTACTTTAGGGAGAGAATATGCAATCATGTCATTAAGGACTATAACAGAATGCATATGCCTCAGGAGGGCAAACTGCGTGGCATGGGCAACCTTGTTTCTGGCATTCCTTACAATTTGAAAGATTGGCTGTGACTGATCACTGAATTTTTTTGGTGCTTTTCTACAGTAATGAAGTAAAAAAATGCGATCTTCACCCACACAGTTAATGCAGGGTTCTGTTGAGTGAGGCCAGTGATTCTCAACAGGACGTCATCCCACTTTGGGAGGCTTTGAGATCCTTCCAGAGGTGCTGTGGGGTGCCACACAGGGGGCACGTCTACAGTTCATTAATGCCCTTATGCTAACGTGCATTAAATTTAGTACCTCTGGATACTTTTACACATGCTTTGGGAGTAAGGGGGGGCAGCACTTTACTTAGAGCAGGTCTGAGAGCCTCTCTAAAATGCATCCCTGAGCTTCAAAATCACGGCGGGGCGCTTGAACTAAAGCTCATTCGACAAGCTTCAGCTCGGGCGACTCTGCTGCCATTTTGAAGCGCAGGGACTCTGATACATGAGACGCGGGAGGCTGCTGGAGCGCGGTAATTACCACACTCCAGCAGACAGGTCTGCTTCAACGTGCTGTAATCACAGCCTCTACACTCATGTACAGGCACCTTCCATAATAATAAAAGGTGCATTCGCCTATTTTAATGCGCGTTAGCAAAAGCACTTTTTTTTGTGACACTTTCATGCTCATTAAAATAAGCTAATATGCATTAAAATGCACATGTAGACATGCCCACTGATAGCATTCTTAAGTGTACAAACACGAGTCACAGGATAAATCCAGAGATTTCAAACAGGTTTCCATTGAGTTAAAAAAACATGCGGACCTGTTTTGGTCTTTCTGAGTTGTTTGCAGCAGAACAATTGCTTTACTATTTTTCCCTGGTAAAACCACATGAAAACTAAGAGCGGGCATTTTCTGAGGGGTGCCTCTGGTTAAAAGGGTTGAGAACCACTGCCTTGTGCTCATCTCCCTGGGACCTGGCATTGGTAGATAATGTTACGTGCTGTACCAGTAGGTGGCAGGGGCAGCTAGCACAGAGTGGAATGATAATTCGGGTACATTCATCATTTTAGGTCCTGCACTGAGAGAGGTGCTGCATTTTTCATGGTATATTAAAATGGAATTACAACACCTAAAGAAACATGTAGTAATGTAGGAACCCAGAGCGTATCCTCTAGGGGCTACACATCTGTGCCACCATTTCTCTTTTTTTTTAAGGAACATTACTGTTGGTTAGTAACTATATAGAAATCTCCTTGAGATTTATTTAGACTAAACGGTAACAGAGTTATAATTTGGATTTAGTGTAGAAGAGTAAATGTATTATATTATCCCCTGTTTAAGGTTATGGCATGAAATTTTTCTCTCTGATCTCAGGAGGTGCGTTTTTCTTTTCTCAGCTCAAAAGGGACACTGAGGCAGTTTAGACCCAGAATGTAGGTTTTGTATGCAACTCACCATATTTATTCAAATCCAAGGCAAGGATTTTTTCCCCATTTAACATAGAGGGGGGAAAGCCCCTCATCTTGGATTCCAGTACGGGGTGGGGGCAGGCAGCTAGTGCAGTTCCAACTTTGACTCCAGCCTGGGTTCAGAGTCGGAGCTGCAACCACTGCTCACCACTTCTGCTCCCTCTGTGTCCCTCCTCCCACCCCCTAACCAGAAGATAAGTGGGTGGGGGAAGAGCAGGGAGGGCAGAGGTGGCAGGGGGAAGGTTGGGGGGTAGGTGGATGGGAGGCAGGTGTAGGGGGCAGAGGTTTTGGAGGGCAGGTGCCATCATACGGGGAGGCAAGTGTGAGGGGCAGGTGCTGGGTCACTGGCTCCACAGTGGCTGGGGCTGGGTGTTGAGACAGGCAGGCAACAGGAGGAGCAGGTGGTAAAGGGGACAGACGACAGGTCGTGCACAGGGGGTGGAATTAATTTAAGACAACCCTTCAATAAGTAGATTCAATATGTGGAAAATCGTAAACTTATAACTTTTTCTACGCATAGAATCTAATCATTGGGGAGGCATCTTAAATTCAGTCGTCTCAGATTTGCAGAAATATGCTGTGCTTACATCAGTGAAATGTAATTTGTTTTTCCACTGCTCTGGGTCTTTCAAGCTTCCCCTCCAGTGTTTGCTACCCAAACAATTCAGCGCTGCGCAGGTGCTGAGTAGACGCTGCGCATTCATCTAGCCTGGCTTTAGTGTCTGTACGAGTGAAGTGCAGGAAGTCAATGAATAGGAGAAGACTTAGTCATTTCAACTGGAAGATGATTTTTATATTAAGTGCTGCTTCTGGGTGCAAGAAAGACTCTGTTTTTTTTAACCTTTGTTCTCAGGCAGATATTTAAGAATTGCTTTGCTTTCCTCTTTAGAAGTTAAAATCAGAAGTAACTTGTCTTGGAGATGAGGAGAATGAGGGAAAAGACTGTGAAATCTCAGTAAACTGGAGAACAGGTAGATTGGACTAATGAGTGATAGTTATTGGATTAAAAATCTCTTCCCATATGTCCTCACAGTCCTCAGAAACGGTTACTTTTTTCATGTGCTGGTAGAAGTTGATCAGAGAGCCCCACTTCTGGAATGGAAATGTGTATCGCTTCCTTTTTTTTTGCATTCTGATACTATATTTTTTTCAAACATTGGACATGGGTAGCGTGAGACTGAGACCCGCCTGGAGAGCGTCCGTAGACAGAGGCGTTCGGGCAGATTAGCCTTCCAGCCTGCAAGTATGTTGCCATCCGCATATCTAGGAAGAGGCTATTCATCTTTTAAAATACATTTCAGCTGCTGATTGCAGTGTTTTTATTCAGCTCCGTCACGGCAGCTATGTACTTTAGAGGCCGTGATACCTCCATGTGTCAATCCAGGACTTTGAGCTGGGACTTGGTGTGCAGGCATTGTAAAGGGGTTTTTTTCCTATCTGTCTGAATGGTCAGTAGCAATTATAATCCACAGTCATTCGAAGGGCAGTACTCAAGTCTACCTTTTCCAAGACAAAGGAGATGCCGTATTATTTCTTTCGCACACTTCCTGTTGTGCCACACACGTAGCGAGGGCTAGGTTTGTTTTAAGGCCATCCTTTTTTCTGAAGTTTCTCAAAAGGCAAAATTCAGCACGTCCCTGCCCTTAAGTTGATCGTTGAGCTGGAGATCTTCTTTACCCGCTCTTCCTCACCTCGATGTGTCCC